GTTTTACAGAGAAGAAACCCAAGGCTCAGAGGATGAAGTGACCTGGACAAGGACACCAGGGGTCCCATCTATTTATTTATTTAAATATATATATATATTTTGATTTCAGAGAGGAAGAGAGAGGGAGAGATAGAAACATCAATGATGAGAGAGAATCATTGATTTGGTGCCTCCAGCATGCCCTATTGGGGATCGAGCCCACAATCCGGGCATGTGCCCTTGACGGGAATCAAACCTGGAACCCTTCAGTCCACAGGCCAACACTCTATCCATTGAGCCAAACCAGCTGGGGCCAAAGGGTCCCATCTTAAGCATATTTAACTTGCATAAATTCATCTCTACCCTGAGCCAACACTCCTCCCGTCTCATTTAAACAAGCTGTGGAGGAAACAAAGTCTGAGAGTGGGGTGTGGATGTATGTGGAAATGATTTTTCAAGTTTGTTAACCACATTGTTAGAGGACAGGCAGCAGGATGAGCATGATTAAGCTGAGGAGGAAAAAAGTGAAGGATGATTCTGTTTATAACTCTCCCTTAGCTCTATCTCAGAGTAAAAGCCAAAGTCCTCCCCTTGACTCAGGAGGCCCCACACTGCTGGCCCAGTCACCTCTCTGAACTTGAGTCTTCACACAGACCAGGGGCATTCCTACCACTGGCTGCTCCTGACATTTGGAGCTCTTATCCCGGATGTCCCTGTAGCTCCCTGTCTCTTCTCCACATCTTTTATTTTTTAATAGATTTTTATTGATTTCAGAGGGGAAGGGGGAGATAGAGAGAGATAGAAACATCAATGATGAGAAAGAATCATCGATTGGCTGCCTCCTGCACACCCTCTACTGGGGATCAAGCCCGCAACCCAGGCATGTGCCCTTGACGGGAATCAAACCCGGGACCCTTCAGTCCGCAGGCTGATGTTCTATCCACTGAGCAAAACCAGCCAGGGCCTCTTCTCCACATCTTTACTCAAATGTCACTTTTTCAGTGAGAGGGTCCCTGACACCCAATATAACACTACAGTAGTCCTCACTGCACATTCACTCACACTTTCCATTCCATTCTCCTTCTTTAGTTTTAGCATTTATCATCATCTGACAAAATGTGTTTTTGTGTTTGTCTTTCCTGTAGAAGGGCAGCTCCATGAGGACAGGAATTGTCTGTATTTTTCACTTATTGAGCTCCTACTGTGTACTAGACTTTGTTTAGCCACTGGGATACAGAGGTGGAAAAGACAAAAATTCCCCAGCTCCTGGCGCTCTCACCCTAGATGGGGGATGGGCACTGAGTGAGATAAGCACATTATATGATAGCTGTGCAGGAGATAGGCAGAGGAAGGAGATGGACGGTGACGTGCTGCTATTTAGCCAGGGTAGCCAGAGCTGGCCTTTCTGAGGAGGTGACTTTTGAGCTGTGTCCTGGACAGAGATGGAATCTGTCTTGGGATCAGTCCTTGGGAAGGGCTGTTTTAGGCAGAGGGAACAGGAGGCCCAAAGGCCCTGAGAGGGAATGTGTTGTGTTACTGGAACTGTTGGAGACATGTGTGCCCAAAGGAATAGGTTGGGAATGATATTTGTGCTGAGCTGGTAAGGTATTAGCAAAGACCTTGCATTTTATTCTAAGTAAATGGGTTGGGAAGGAAGAAGAGAGGGCCTTGAAGTGTCTGCATGTTCCCTCTGGCTGTGTGGGGAGCAGACTGTGGGGGCAGGGGTGGAAGCATGAAGACAGTGGGCAGGATGGTAGCCAGAGTATAGGGGTCATGGACACTGACAAGTGGAGCAAAGGTTAGGTTTGGGATTGTCTTGCAGTTGGAGCCCCCAGAATTGCTGCATCTCAGGAAACACTAGCAGCATTGACCCGATTGCTCAAATCAAAACCTGACTGCCAGGCTGTCTGGCGTAATGGGGAAAAGCATGACCCCTAGTTCTGGGTTCCAAATAGCAGTTCCACTACTCACAAGCCAGTGTGACCTTGGGCAACTGACTTAAATTCCCCGTGCCTCAGTTTATCCCATAAAATGGAGATAGTAATAGGACCCACCTCATAGGGCTGTTGTGAGGAAAAAGTGAGTAGTAAAGGTTAACTTTTATTTCACCATCCCTTGCTAAGCCCTATGTGAGCTGCTTTCTCCACTGCCATGGTTTGAGGGTTCAAATAGCCTGAGCCAGGTTCTCACCTCTAGCTGGGGCAGTGGGAGGCTACTGAGCCTCCTCACACCTCCCCACTAGGTATCGACCTGGTGGACATGGCTTCAGACCTCCTTCAGCCTCAAGGAGATGATGTGGCTCGCATAAGCTGGTACCTACGTAGCCTCATCGCCAGGTACCAAGAGACCTTCAGCGTCATCGAGAAGGTGACTGGGGGGCTGGGAAGGCACGCCTTCTGTCCATCTCTCCTGGGCCAGCCCTGACCCCGCCCCTCTTGTTTTCTTCCAGTGCCCTAAACCTGTGATTGCAGCCATCCACGGGGGCTGCATTGGCGGAGGTGAGTCTACAGCCCCCATCCCGGAACTCATTCTGGCTGGGTGCCTATTGGCTGCTGCCCTTCTGCCTCAGTCAATGGCCTCCAGCTCAGATCTGTTGCTAGTTGGATTTTGTACCAAATTGCAACCCCTGGGCCTGGGCGGAGGGTTGGTCCTTATGGTTGTTTAGTGTCCAGGGCTTCTACCTCCCAGGTGTGGACCTCATCACCGCCTGTGACATCCGGTACTGTGCCCAGGATGCTTTCTTTCAGGTGAAGGTGAGTCATCCTCCCGAGCTTCTGCTTCTTTGAGTCCTGCTTAATGCTGGGCAATGAGCGGCAGAGTCAGGGCAGAGCAGTGGCAGTGCAGGCTAAGGAGGTGGGACTGAGGAGGGAGGGCCTGGAATGAGCCCAGACGGCTTCATGGAAGAGTTCATCAGAAATGACCCTTAAGAAGTAAGGCTTGGTCATGGAGGAATTAAAGGGTAGGACATGCAGTCCAGGTGAGGTCAGGAGTGAGTAAAGTATGGGGACGGGACAGGCTGGGGATGCTGCATTATGGAGTCAGTGCCTGAGAGGGTGGGAGGCAGGATGGAGCCCGTGGATGCAGTAAGGGGGTGAACTAAGCACGGTTAAGAAGCACTTCAACTCTTACCATTTGCAACGTCATGGATGGAACTGGAGAGCATTATGCTAAGTGAAATAAGCCAGTCAATGAAGGAAAAATACCACATGATCTCACTCATTCATGGATAATAGAGACCATTATAAACTTTTGAACAATAATAGATAGAGAGGCAGAGCTGCCTCAAACAGATTGTCAAACTGCAGCAGGAAGGCCGGGGAGGGTTGCGGGGCAGGAGGTAGGGGGGTAAGAGATCAACTAAAGGACTTGTATGCATGCATATAAGCATAACCAGTGGACATAAGACATTGGGGGATAGGGGAGGCTAGGGGACTGTCTAGGGCGGGGGGATAAAATGGACACATATGTAATACCCTTTGTAATACTTTAAGCAATAAAAAAAAAAAAAAAAAAAAAAAAAAAGAAGCACTTCACTCTGGAGAGGGACATGGCAGACCCGGGAGAATTGAGATGGCCAAAGAATTGGAAGGTGACTCTATTCTGGCCGAAGGAATCTCCTTTGGGAAAGAAATGGAATGGAGTTTTGAAGGGAGGGGCATTTGAGTGAGGGGTGGAGTGAGACCTCTACTGTAAGTGAGACCAAGAACTGACGGGATTGCTACCCGCAGGAGGTGGATGTGGGTTTGGCTGCTGATGTGGGAACGCTGCAGCGTCTGCCCAGAGTCATCGGGAATCAGAGGTGGGTAAGGAAACCTGGGGGAAGGGACCGAAGGGCATCTCTGGACCTGGGATGACCGCTGGCCCCTGATAACCCTGCCCTCCTGCAGCCTGGTCAATGAGCTGGCCTTCACCGCCCGCAAGATGATGGCTGACGAGGCCCTGAGCAGTGGGCTGGTCAGGTAGGGTGCGCCGGTGCTGGTGAAGAGCTCAGGGCCAGCCAGGCTTGGCTGGGGCTCTCTGGGTCCCTGTGGATTCTTATTCATGGATTCCACGGGGCTTCCTCTCTCTGAGTGGTCAGTTCTTTATTCTGGAAGATCATGCCCTGATTGGTCCATTTCATGGGAGGAGGTGGGGTGTCTTTTGCTTTCAACTGTGATTGGCCACTTCTAATATGGGAGGGAAGGTAGAGAACCCTTCTCAGACCCCGATTCCGGATGGCCTTCATTTGCAGCCGAATATTCCCAGACAAGGAGGTCATGCTTGACGCGGCCTTCAACCTGGCGGCCGAGATTTCCAGCAAGAGCCCCGTGGCAGTTCAGGGCACCAAAATCAACCTGCTCTACTCCCGCGACCATTCGGTGGCCGAGGGCCTCAATTACATGGTGAGGCTCTCCATCTGACCAATCACAACCCTTCTCTGATCCCAGAGCAACCAATCAGAGCTCAGCGACCTCTGCAGGCCTTTTCCTCTGATTGGTGTGCTGCTATGTCCCCATTTTTCATTGGTCCAACTCCAGTCTTGCCCCATCCTTCCATTATTCTCTGCCTTCTTTATCTAGGCATCCTGGAACATGAGCATGCTGCAAACCCAGGACATCGTTAAGTCTGTCCAGGCAGCGATGGAGAAGAAGGAACTGAAGGGTGTCACCTTCTCCAAGCTCTGAGAGCCCCCACGTCCTAGGCCCTGGCCTAGGGTCTGGCTTTGACCAACTTTATGCCTGTGTTTCCTCATCCCCAGAGAGGGAGAATTAGTAAAGATGGTCACCTTGCTGCCTTCTCACCCAATCTCCCAGTTTATAACTCCATGACATTGATTTCTTCATGTCCAGGGCCATACCTTCACCCCACCAACAATAAAGCAAAGTCAAGAACCTGGTGTCCTTATTGGAGATGGGAGAAGTGGGAAGGAGCTAATATGCACTGTGATCCATGGACCACAGTTGGCAGTTGTGCTGAAGGTTGGGAAGAGAGCTTTGACCAATGGGAATGGGAGCCAGGCAGGCGATGACCATGCAGAGCTGGCAGTGGACAGGGCAGGGCCAAAGAAAGTCTGGCACGGATGGAGCAAGCAGAGGTGCAGCTCGAGGGAGGTGTTCACCCCGCCTGACCCCCTCTCACTGCTTAATGGGATCTGGCGCTGAAGTCTGGTGAGGGTGCCATTGTTATCTAGCCAACTGCCTCATTTCTTTCAGTTTTAGGTTTTCTCATCCATATACATATAATTCCACCATCTTGGATTTATGTTGGGAATGAGTACAAGAGACCAAACATTAATTTAATGCCTTCTATATACCAAGTCTTGTTCTGAGCATTTATTAACTTAGTGATTATTTTCAAGGACCTGTGAGATTGATACTATTAATATCCCCATTTTACAGACGAGCAAATGAGCAAATTGAGGTTATGGCACTGACCCAAGATTACTCAGCCAGGAAGTGGCTGAGGCAGGATTTGTACCCCAAACCTCTGGCTGCAGAAGTCTGTGATTTAAACCACTGAGTATACAAGAGCAAGTCATGGAGAAGGCATGTAGTAGGCACACAATCAATTTAGGTCCTTTCACAGTTCCTGGAGCGTCAAGAGCACCCAGTTCCTCCCTGCTTTCACTTGCTCCCATTGCCCATCTGTCCCGGGCCACTCCTGCAGCCCTGCCCTGCCCAACCTCCCTGACCTTACCCTCTCTCTGCTAACAAAGGTCCAGGTAGAGTTTTATGGGCTCTGATAAGGCACTGGCAGGGCCAAAGTTCACTAGCACTTCCTCTTTGCAGAATGTTCTAGAGGAGGGGTCCCTGACCTGAGTCCCCCCAGGCCTGGCCCAATGATCTGGGCTCTGACAGGTTACCACTGAGGTTGGTGAGAGAAGGGAGACCAGAGGGTATGTTAGAAGAAGATGTGAGCCTGGGATGCTCAGAAGAGGGGCCCCATGAACCCTGCCCTGCCTGCCACTCCCTTTTCCTCGGGTATAAAAGCCGCTACCACCCAGCATCTGTCACCATTTCCCACTCCTGCAGCTCTTCTCACAGGACGAGCCACCAGCCCAGACTCTCAAGATGGCCTTTGTCCCTGCACCCGGCTACCAGCCCACCTACAACCCGGTGAGATATGGGCCCAGGCCTTCACCCAGGCCTGGCTTAGCTCCACCCTGACCCCCATACACCGATTTACTCTCACCCTGAACTTCAGAGGCACCCACCTTGCCCCTGGGTCTAATTTACTTAATACTGACTCTGGGGGACCCACCTGTCACTCAGGCTATTTATGTTCACACCAAACTCTCAGCCCTTTTCATCTTCATGCTGAACCCTCACCCCTTAGTTTCCTCCCCCTTGCTTAAGGGAAAAAGCAGGGGGGCTTCTCACGGAGGGGGAAAGGCTTCAATAGGCAGATGGCCTTCAAGGCCCCTCACCCAGCGCCTTCTACAGACTCTGCCCTACAACAAGCCCATCCCTGGAGGTCTCAGCGTGGGAATGTCCATTTACATCCAAGGAGTGGCTAGCGAGCATATGAAAAGGTAAGGCCCTCCCCAGGCCAGGCTAGGCTGGGAGGGGGGCTGTAAACGGGGCTTCTGGTCTTCTGACCTTCCTCTACCCTGGTTGGGGAGGGACTCTAGGCCACCACCCCTGATGACTAAAGATCAGCCCTGATCTGGGAGTCCAGGGTTTGGAGATCAGATCAGGTGGAGAGCCCTAGGGGCTGCGAGGCGGCTGCGAGGCGGCTGGAAGGCTCACCATAAGAGGCGGCCCCGGAGTTGGGCTGCTGAGTTGGAATTGGTGGGTGTGATAGCATGAACGAAAATCACAGGCCTGGCCCTAGCTGGTTTGGCTTAGTCCCGTGGATAGGGCGTTGGCCTATGGACTGAAGGGTCCTGGGTTCGATTCTGGTCAAGGGCACACGCTGGAGTTGTGGGCTCAATTCCCCATAGGGGGCGTGCAAGAGGCAGCTGAACAATGATTCTCGGTATTGATGTTTCTATCTCCCTCTTCCTTCTCCCTTCCTTTCTGAAATCAATAAAAAGATATTTTAAACATAAATATATAAATAATAAAATAAACACATAATAGCCCTAGCTGGTTTGGCTCAGTGGATAGAGCGTTGGCCTGCAAACTGAAGGGTCCCAGGTTCAATTCCAGTCAAGGGCACATGCCCGGGTTGCGGGCTCGATCCCCAGTGATCAGTGAATTCTCTCTCATCATTGATGTTTCTCTCTCTCCCTCTTCCTTCCTCTCTGAAATCAATAAAAATGTATTTTAAAAAAACATAATAAAATGTCAGATGGCTATAAATGCTATAGAGTCAAATGAGGGAAGGCGATCAAGAGTGGATGTGGGGGAGAGGGGCGTGGCACTGTCCCTTTAAATAGGGTGGCCAGGAAAGGCCTTCCTGGGAAAGGAACATCTCAGCAAGGACCTGATGGAGGTGAGGAAGGCGCCTGGGGTATATTTGAGGGAAGGGCATTCCAGGCAGAAAGAACAGCCAGTGCAGGCCCTGAGACACATGTGTGCCTGCCTGGATGGGATGGATGTTGACTGGGTCCCTGTGGGTGCATGTGGGGAACGGCCTACAGGGCCAGGGAGGGAGCAAGAGGCCTGAATTGATAGACGCAGGGCTCCGAGGGCAGTGCCCATGGTGACTGTAGGTGAACGCAGGGATCCCAGGGGCAGGCCTATTTGAGGGATTAGAGGAGGAGGCTAGTAAGGAAAGGGAGTGGAGAAAAAAGGTGGGTACAGGGTGAAGGGGGTCAATGGGAGAAAAAAGGGGGACATCTGTAATCCTTTCAACAATGAAGATAAATTTTTTTAAAAATTAAAGGGAAAGGGAGCGAGTGAGGGGGGGGTGGGAGTCTGCTTCCTGGAACTCAGGGGCACAACCACCCCATCGGGAACCTGGAACAAGGTGGGGCAGAGAGGGCTTCCCAGAGGAGGGCTCCCTGGGCTGGCAGGTGGGGCCAGGGGAACAACTCGTCATGCCCCCCCCCAGGTTCTCCGTGAACTTCGTGGCGGGACAGGGCCCTGGGGCCGACATCGCCTTCCACTTCAATCCCCGTTTTGATGGCTGGGACAAGGTGGTCTTCAATTCGCAGCAGGGCGGCCAGTGGGGCAGTGAGGAGAAGAAAAGGAGCATGCCCTTCCGCAAGGGCACCCCCTTCGAGCTGGTGTTCATGGTCCTGCCAGAGCACTACAAGGTGGGAATTTCAGGGCCCGGCCTTCCCTCCCCTCTCCCCCTCCCCCTCCCCCTCCCGCTCCTCCTCCCTCCTTCCCTCCCTCTCCTTCCTCTCCTCCCTCTCCTCCCCTCTCCTCCCCTCTGCCTCCCTCTTTCCCTCCTCCTCCCTCTCCTCCCTCTCCTCCCCTCTGCCTCCCTCCTTCCCTCCCTCTCCTCCCTCTCCTCCCCTCTCCTCCCCTCTCCTCCCCTCTGCCTCCCTCCTTCCCTCCCTCTCCTCCCTCTCCTCCCTCTCCTCCCTCTCCACCCTCTCCTCCCCTCTCCTCCCTCTCCTCCCCTCTCCTCCCCTCTGCCTCCCTCTTTCCCTCCTCCTCCCTCCACTCCCTTCTATCCCCTCCCATTTTCCCCTCCCCCTCTCTCTTTCCCTCCTTTCCTCCTCTCTTCTTTTTTCTCTCCCCCTTCCCTCCTCCCTTCCTACCGAGCTTTTCCCTTTTCCTTCTTTCCTGCCTATTAAAAAATGTCTCTTTTATCTCTTTTTCTCCTCCCCATTCCTCCCGGGGAGAGGCTTCTAATATGTTTAATGTATATCATCTGTTCCTTTGTGTTCTTGTGAGATGTGTATTTTTGCTATTTCTGTGGAGACTCTAAACACACACACAGGAAGCACCGAGTACAGTGACGCGGCCTCCGTGGCCAGCTCCAGTCGCCGTGCCCTCTGCTTTCATCCTTACCTCTCACTTCCCCTCCAATTCACTTCAGAACAAACCCCAGATATCATACAATTTCATTCATAAGTATTTCAGTTTTTACAAACACAGTCATGCCGTCATGACCACACCTAAAAAACTACCGTCCTTGCTCAGTGTCACCACATATCCTTAAACGTCTTGTTTGCTGTTTTCTAGTTTGTTTGAATCAAGGTCCAAATGAGACTCACACATTGAGACTAGTTGCTATTGTGCAAGTATTTTTTATTTGTTAGTGAAGTGTGACCCAGGTACAAAAGAGTGCACGCCTTGTGTACACAGCTCAGACGACTTTTCCCAAAGAGAGTGCACCCATGTAGCCAGCGCTTGGTCTAAAATCAAATGCCTGTAGCCCCCAAAGTCCCTTCAGGCCCCCCCCAGTGCCCTCGCCCCCACAGGTGGCCTTCATCCTGTCTTTTCTCAGCCTGGATCTATTTCCCTGTCTTTGTTTTTTAAGTCTGTGTGGCTGTGCTGTGTGACTGTAGGACTCCAGGCGGACACGCTCTGAGTTCCTTCCATCCCTGCCTCCGACTCCCCACAAATGGCATTGAGCAGATGCCCTGGGCTCATGCATCCCATGTGACCAATGTGGAGGGTCCCCTGGAGGGGAACTGCAGGGCTGGGCACCCACCTGGACTTTATCTGCCCTTATATGGGCACCAGATTTCTAACATCATTTTTGGAGGTTAGCACCACGGTTTGAGGTTGGACAGACAAAGATTGAGTCTGGGCTTTGCCACTCCCCAATGTGTGACCTTGAGCTGGTCACTCTATGCACTGGAGCCTCTGGTTTCTTGAACAACAGGGACAATCCCTTGTCCTGCCTCAGGGAGCTGTTGAGAGGATCACGGTGTTGCTATCACTATGGAAAGCGCTTAGCATGTAGGAAGCACTCAGTCCTGGGGAGCTGGCTCTCGGCCTCATTCATGGTCATTGCTCAGCACTCTGACTAGAACCACATGCTGAGATATGATCACAAGATATGATCACGGGGCTTGCACAGTGCCTCTGGCATACTTTGCTGGCTTTTAACCTTCCCAACAATCCCAGAGTGAGCCCCATGTTACAGACGAGGAAACAAAGTCTCAGAGAGGTGAATTGATTTATCTGAGGTCACACACCTAAGACTTGTCAGAGCTAGACCTCCAACCCAACTCATTTGGTGCTTAAACTGGGCCTTAGACACAAGTCTCTCTATCCCCAGACTAAATTCTATGTTCTCTCCTATCCATTAATCTGTGAGCTGACTTTTGACCTTAGCTTGACCTGTGACCTGTGGACTCCTAGGTTCCTGACTCTGAAGCTATCCAAGCTCACCCTAAGACTTTTGACCCCAAGTTAAAAAGACCCCTGTTCCCTGCTTCCTGTCTTTACCTTTCCCAGGGCATGGATGCTGACTCTGACCTTACCCTGCCCTCCAAGCTACCCAAGCTCACCCTAAGACTTTTGACCCCAAGTTAAAAAGACCCCTGTTCCCTGCTTCCTGTCTTTACCTTTCCCAGGGCATGGATGCTGACTCTGACCTTACCCTGCCCTCCAGGTGGTGATAAATGGAAATCCATTCTATGAGTTTGGGCACCGGATCCCTCTACAGATGGTCACTCACCTGCAAGTGGATGGGGACCTGGAGCTTCAATCAATCAATTTCATCGGAGGCCAGCCAGCCCCAAGCCAGGTGTGTAGGGTCCCCCTCTCTTATTTGCTTCCTTCTTTGTTTTATTTTAATTTTAAATTTATTGATTTTAGAAAAGAGAGAGAGAGAGAGAGACTTGTAGTTCCACTTATTTATGCATTCATTGGTTGATTTTTGTATATGCTTTGACCAGGGATCAAACCCACAACCTTGGCATATCAGAAAGACACTAACCAACTGAGCTACTCGGCCTGGGCTGCTTCCTTCTTTAATTAGTTCATTCCCACATTCCTTTATTTCCTGGCACCCTTTGCTGGGTGATGCCATGGACCCAGAGGACCAGGGCAGTCTACAAGGTCACCAGTTGGTGTTGGCCACAATGATCAGGGCCGGGATGGGGGACGCACAGGAGCTTTGGGCGTCTTAATGAAGGGCTTCCTAGAGAAGGAGGAAGTGTGTACGTTGAGTCAGGGAAGGAAGATAAGGAGGAACAAAAACCACAGGAATAGCAAACAAGTTTATGAGACTTTGCCTAACATCATTAGTCACCCAGAAACTCAGTGAAAATCAATATGAGCCACCACTGCACCCACCAGAGAAGCCACACTGAGAAAGGCACCAATACCTACCGTTGGTGGGGCCGTGGACTGGCTACACTCCTGTGCCTTGGAAAATGACTGGGCAGCATCTGTGAAGGCCGACCAGACACTTACCAATGACTTAGAAACCCCACTCCTGGGTCCACAGTGAACAAATGGCCACCAGAACACCCGCACTCGAACTGGTCAGGAAGTCCGAATCCAGCTTCCCGAGGTGCCCTTCAGCTGAGGGCTCCACGCCCCCAGCCAGCACCTGCACGGGAAAGTGCTCTGGTGATCCTCAGCTCCGTTTTACAGATGTGGGAGCTGAGGCCCCGAGAGCTTAAGTGACTTGCCCCAGGTCATGGACCAGCAAGTGGCAGAGCCACGGGGTCTGTGCTCAGACTGCTCCTCTGCTCCCTGATGAAGAAACGTCGGGAATGTGTTTATCTGTACGGTGGTCACGGGCCTATGGACTTCATTTTACCATCATGCTTCATCAATGCATTTTGGAAAGAAAACTAGATAAGGCCTTCAGAAAAGGGCCTTCAGAAAAGCTGGCTCAAAATGGAAGTCAGGCAGAGAGGAGATCATTAGAAAGAAGAGGAAATAGAGAGTTAATAAAAGTCAACTAGGGAAGGGAAAGGTGTTTCGGGCAGAGGGAACCACCTGAGAGGAGATGTGGACAAGAGACAGCAACAGAAACAGAAACACGAGACACACACAGACTGAGAGAGCCTGAGACAGACAGGACTTGGCTGGTTCCAGGGAGTCCCCGTTGCCCCAGCGGTGGGCATGTGGAGTGAGGGGCATGGTGGTTGGGGATGAGGTGAGCATGGGTATTATATGGGCCTGGAGGTATGTACACTTCATTATGCAGCTTCTGGATTTGGGGGGACAGCAGGAAGCCAGGGTAGGAGAGGGTACAAGAATAGAATTTATCAGGTTTTTTCAAAGTGGTGGTGATCCCTAAACAGCAAGTCCCTCTCCATTAATGAGCCATTTGAGTGCCACCCTTTGACTCCAGAGTTCCCTTGGGTGGTGGTGGTGGGCAGGGTCTTTGACACTCTCCAGGCCTTTGTTCAGAGTCCCTCTCATCACCTCCTTCTCCCTCTGTGCCCACAGACCCCCATGGTTATTCCAGCATATCCTGTAAGTACCTGCTGGTAGATGACACATTTTCCCTTGCATGCGGGTTTGGTGGCTGAGGAGGTCCTGGGGCAGGGGACCCTGGTCTTTTCACCGTTCCTACCTTTTCTATCCATGTAGGGTTCTGGATGCATGCCTCCGCAGAGTAACCTGCCTGTAAGTGGGAGGGCTGTGTGGCCATGAAGTGGGGAGGGTGAGAACTGGGAGGGTCACCAGGAGTACCAATCCAGTACCTGGCGATATGCTACATGTTGTATGTGTGCCGTCAATATTTGTCAAATATTATAGAATAATATCTCTTCTTTCTCACTTCACAGACCATGGAGGGACCCCCAATCTTCAACCCGGTAAGGAGCCCTGCAGTTTAGGGCTCTATGGTGGGCAATTTGTGGAGAAGCAGGAATTGAGGAGGGTTAGGAGCCCTGATCCACGGGGAGCCTGAGAGGGCAAAGGGTGTTGGGGACAGGAAGTGGGAAAAAGGAGTTGGTGGTCAGAGTGGGGCAGGGGACAGGAATTGGGGATATTTCCCAGGACTAGTAGGAGCCTCTCTCTGAAAATTTGTCCTTGCATCTGGCTTCTGGTGACCTGAGAGATGATGGGACCCCGTGTTCTCTTTTCACAGACTGTGCCATTTATGGGAAAACTGCAAGGGGGGCTTACAGCCCGAAAAACCATCATAGTCAAGGGCTACGTGCCTCCCACAGGCAAGAGGTACGGAACTGAGGCTGAGGTGGGAGTCCTCAGCTTCCCTTCTCCCTCTGACCCTGGAGTCCAGTTTTGAGCCCTCTGTCCCTTGAGGGGCCAGGTGCTGGCCACCTCCTGACTCTCATCTCCCTCTCTGTCCCCAGCTTTGCCATCAACTTCAAGGTGGGATCGTCCGGAGACGTGGCTCTCCACATTAACCCCCGCCTGACCGAGGACACCGTGGTTCGGAACAGCTATCTGAACGGCTCATGGGGATCCGAGGAGAAGAAGATCTCCTACAACCCGTTTGGTCGTGGCCAGTACTTTGATGTGAGTCAGGCTTTCTTTCCCACTTCCCTCCAATGCCTCTGTCCTGGCCATAGCCTCATACCTGCTCCTCTCCCTGCAGCTGTCCATTCGTTGCGGCATCGATCGTTTCAAGATTTATGGCAATGGCCAGCACCTCTTTGACTTCTCCCATCGCCTTTCAGCCTTCCAGAGGGTGGACATTCTGGAGATTGAGGGTGATATCACCTTGTCCTATGTCCAGATCTGATCTATTCCTGGGAGCACACAGAGAAAGATCCCATAAGACTCCATTTTAAGCTTCTAATAAACTATCTGAGGGTGTCTAATGAGTGTCCATGACTTCATTCACACCGCCACCCCCCCCACACACATACTGTTCCTTTATGCCTTGAATCAGTTGTGCACTGTCCATTGAGCCATCCAATCATCTATCCATCCATTCTCCCATCATAATAAGTCTAGGTACCCTACCCCTACCCAAACACTGATCTTAGGGACTTATGTGTATCAAATCATTCATTTCTCACAACAATTATAATCCAAAATCAAGAATGTACACCAGCCCAGCTGGCGTGGCTCAGTGGTTGTGTGTCGGCTTATAAACCAGGAGGTCATGGTTCAATTCCTGGTGAGGGCACATGCCCGGGTTGCGGGCTCAATCCCCAGTGTGTGGTGTGCAGAAGGCAGCAGATTGATGATTCTCTCTCATCATTGATGTCTATCTTTCTCTCCCTCTCCCTTCATCTCTGAAATCAATAAAAATATATTAAAAAAAAAAAAAGAATGAACACCACTAGCCCTGGTCACGTGGCTCAGTTGGTTGGAATATCGTCCCCAAATCAAGAAGGTTGCAGGTTTGATTCCTGGTCAGGGAACATAACTGGATTGAGGGTTCAATCTCTGGTCAGGGCACATATGGGAGGCAACTGACCAATGTTTCTCTCTCACATCAATGTTTCTCTCTCTCTTTCCCCCTTCCTCTCTCTAAAATCAATTTTAAAAAAACAACATATCCTCAGATGAGGATTTAAAAAAAAAGAAGAAGAAACACCACTAATGACTCTACATAAAATACAGGGGATTACAAGGGAATATTATGAAAAAGTTTAGGCCAACAAATTGGCAGCATAAATGAGGGGAACAAACTCCCAGAAAGTTAAAAATTATCTAAACTGACTAGAGAAAATATAAAAAAAATGGTTTTTTTTCTCCATGGAAACACTCATAAAATTTTTGTAGAAATATTCATTACAATTCAGTTAAAAACTAATCAAAACAATTTTGAAAAGAACAAAGACTATTTACACTACACGATTTCAAGACTTACTAGAAAGCTCTAGTAACCAAGAATGTGGCATTGGCATAAGCACAGACACATAGATCAACAAATCAGAAAAAAGAGTCTGGAAATAAACTGATATATGTACAATTTATGTTTGATAAAATACTGTCAAGCTAATTCAATGGGGAAAAAAAGACAGTAATTTCCACATATAGCAAGAAATGAACCTCAACTCTTACCTCACACCATACCCAAAAATTAACTAAAAATTATCAAGACTGCCCTGGCCAGTGTGGCTCAGTTGGTTGGTAGTTGTCCCATGCACTGAGAGGTTGCTGGTTCAATTCCCAGTCATGCCTGGGAGTATGCCGGGACAGCCGATCCTTATTTGCCTCTCCCATCAATGTTTCTCTCTCTCTTCCTCTCTCTCTCTCCCCGCCCCCTAAAAATCAATGAAAATTGTATTTTAAGAATTTATTAGGAAGAACAGCACTCCATCCTTCATATTTTATTTATTTATTTATTTATTTATTTATTTATTTATTTATTTAATAATCCTCACCTGAGGATATTTTCTATTGATTTTTTTAGAGCGAGTAGAAGAGAGAGACAGAGAGAAACACCAATGTGAGAGAGAGACATTGATTGGTTGCCTTCTGCATGCCCCGGACCAGGACTGGGAGCCTGCAACTGAGGTATGTGTCCTTGACCAGAATCAAACCCGGGACCCTATACACTGAGCCAAACTGGCTAAGGCTCAAAACAATTTTTTTAAAAAAGACTTAAGATCTAAACATAAATGCTAAAACTCTAAAAACAGAAAGAAAAAAAAGAGCAAGAGATAATCTCTAACTTGAGATGGGCAAAGATTTTTTTTAAATCACCTTTTTAAAAAAATATATTTTATTGATTTCTTACAGAGAGGAAGGGAGAGAGATAGATAGAAACATCGATGAGAGAGAAACATCGATCGGCTGCCTCCTGCACACCCCCCACTGGGGATATGCCAGCAATCAAGGCACATGCCCTTGACCGGAACCAAACCTGGAACCCTTCAGTCCGCAGGCCAACGCTCTATCCACTGAGTCAAACCAGTTAGGGCTACCTTCTGCGATTTTAATAAATGTATTTTATTTATTTAGAGAGATCAATTTGTTCCACTTATTTATGCATCATTGGTTGATTCTTTTTTTAAAATTAAATCTTTATTGTTCAGATTATTACATTTGTTCCTCTTTTTCCCCCCCCATAACTCCCCTCCACCAAGTTCCCACTCCACCCTCCACCCGCACTCCCCACCCACTGTCCTCATCCATAGGTGCATGATTTTTGTCCAGTCTCTTCCCGCTTCCCCCTCACCCCTTTCCCCCCCAAGAAGAGTCAGTCCACTCCCTTTCTATGCCCCTGATTCTATTATAATCACCAGTTCATTCTGTTCATCAGATTATTTATTCACTTGATTCTTAGATTCACTTGTTGATAGATGTGTATTTGTTTTTCATAATTTGTATCTTTACCTTTTTCTTCTTCTTCCTCTTCTTAAAGGATACCTTTCAGCATTTCATATAATACTGGTTTGGTGGTGATGAACTCTTTTAGCTTTTTCTTATCAGTGAAGCTCGTTATCTGACCTTCAATTCTGAATAACTTTGCTGGATAAAGTATTCTTGGTTGTAGGTTCTTGGCATTCACACTTTGAATATTTCTTGCCACTCCCTTCTGGCCTGCAAAGTTTCTGTTGAGAAATCAGCTGACAGTCGTATGGGTACTCCCTTGTAGGTAACAACTGAGTTTCTTTCTCTTGCTGCTTTTAAGATTCTCTCTTTGTCTTTTGCTCTTGGCATTTTAATTATGATGTGTCTTGGTGTGGGACTCTTTGGATTCCTTTTGTTTGGGGTTCTCTGCACTTCCTGGATTTGTAAGTCTATTTCTTTCACCAGGTAGGGGAAGTTTTCTGTCATTATTTCTTCAAATAGGTTTTCAATATCTTGCTCTCTCTCTTCTTCTGGCACCCCCATAATTCGGATGTTGATACGCTTGAAGCTGTCCCAGAGGCTCCTTACACTATCTTCGTATTTTTGGATTCTTTTTTCATTTTGCTTTTCCGGTTGGGTGTTTTTTGCTTCTTCGTATTTCAAATCTTTGACTTGATTCTTGCGATCCTCTGGTCTGCTGTTGGGAGTCTGTATAATATTCTTTATTTCAGTCAGTGTTTGCTTAATTTCTAGTTGGTCCTTTATCACAACATCGAGGGTCTCACTAGATTTCTTGAGGGTCTCATTAAGTTTATCTTCGGTTTCTAGAAAATTCTTGAAAAACCTTAAAAGTGTGGTTTTGAACTCTAAATCCAGTAGTTTGCTTTCCTCCATTTCTGTCATTTGTGTCCTGTTTCTTTGTCTCAGCATTTTTTATGCTTCGCTGTGTTGATATAGTGGCTTTCTGTGCTAAGTGTCCTATAGGGCCCAGTGGCTCAGCCTCCCCAATTACCTGAGGTAGACACTCTTGGTGCACCCCTTTGTGGGCTTTGTGCCCAGTCTTGTTGTAGTTAAGCCTTGATTGTTGTAGGTAAAACTGGGAGCATTTGACCTCCAGGCCAATTGGGTGTGAGAATCACCTGTATCTACGGTGGGAGAACTTCTGTGCTGAAGACACCCTTATGGGGCAAGACTTGCTTCAGTGGGGCTTTGGTGCTCATGTAGTCTGCCCCCTGAGTGTGTCCCTTATGGATCTGAGGAGTTATAATTGGATGGTCCCACTCTGACCACTGGGTACACTGGCTCTTGGATCTAAGGTGGTGCTAATCTAGGCTCTGCCTGAAGCTACCCAGCAGAAGCCAGCTGTAAAGCAATGCAAGTTGCCCTGGGGCCTTGGGGCAGCTGCAGTTTGTTAAGTAATTTTCAGATTACAAAGGGCCGGGCCTTTCATATGCAAAAGTCTCTGTGCACGGCTTGGGTGGGGCAGGGTCCCAGGGGATCAACAGGGCAGGCAGAGCAAGCAGTATGGCTGCTCTCAGTCCTGCTCTCAGAGGCCCCGGCAATTGCTGCGTGTGACTCTGAGAGAAAGCTGCCCTCAAGTTCCGACCGATGCCAGACAGTCCCGTTTCTCTCTATCTCTCTCCCTTCCTCTCTGTAAAAAAATCAATAAAATATATTTAAAAAACAAACAAACAAACAAACAAACAAACAAAAACCAGGAAGACAGATGGCTTTTTTATACACCAATAATGAATTCTCAGAAAGAGAAACTAAACAAACAATCCCAGTTACCATTACAACAACAAAAAATTAAGATACTTAGGAATAAACTTAACCAAGGAGGCAAAGACCTGTACTCAGAAAATTATAGGATGTTGAAAAAAGAGATAGAGGAAGATATAAACAAGTGGAAGAATATATCGTGTTCATGAATTGGTAGAATAAATGCCATTAAAATGTCCATACTACCCAAGGCAATCTACAGGTTCAATGTAATCCCTATTAATATACCAACTGCATATTTACAGAGCTAGAATAAATACTCCAAAAATTTATATGGAACCAAAAAAGACCCCAAATAGCTGCAGCAATCTTGGGAAAGAAAAACAAAGTTGGAGGAATCACAATACCAGATATCAAGTTATTCTACAAAGCCATCATAATAAAAAAGGCTGGCACTGGCACAAGAACAGGCATATAGATCAATGGAACAGAAAAGGGAACCCAAAATTGACCAAAGCCATTAAGCTCAATTAATACTTGACAAAGGAGGCAAGAGCATACAATGGAGTCAAGACAGTCTCTTCAATAAGTGGTGTTGGGAAAATTGGACCAGATACATGCAAAAAGAAAAAAAAAAAAAAAAAGGAAACTGGACCACCAACTTGCACCATACAAAAGAATAAACTCAAAATAGATAAAAGACTTAAACGCAAGTCGTGAAACTATAAACATCCTAGAAACCATAGGCAGCAAAATATCAGACATCTCTTGTAGCAATATGTTTATGGATATATCTCCTGGGGCAAAGAAAACTAAGGAGAAAATAAACAAACGGGACAACATCAAA